TCTTATAAAAAACGGCTCTGGGGCTCCGTTTTGAGACACTCAGTCTGTGTTGACAGACGCTCCTTCTCCCTCACGCTCTTTGCGATTCTTTTATAAAAAAACGCTCTGGGGCTTCGTTTTGACTGGACTCAAGTCTGTGTTTGACGGACGCTCCTTTCTTCCCTACGCTTCTTGGCGATTCTTTACTGCTTCTTGGCCATTTTTTAATTTTAGTTTTATTTTATTGTTGTGATACTTTTGTCACTTAAAAATTAAATTAATTTAATTTTCCCTTAAACGAGGAAGCTTAACCTGGAGTTAAGAAGCGCGTCGACGATTAAAATCAGGTACGTAAGTTTTAAACTCTGCCATATTTAATTTTTTGCACTTTCATGCATGCTTCTTTTCTACCCTAAATTAACTTCTACCACTGCATTAAAGTGCATTCCACATCATAATTAGCAAATAAATTGCCTCAATTAAATAAATTTAGGCTAAATGCCCCGGTTAATAATTAATCGTGGTATTAAAGCCTAAACCGACAATATTGGCTTAAAGCCTTAGTTAATCAATAACTATTGGTATGATTTGCCTTTATTTTTCAAACAGTTTTCGGCGTAAGTCCAAATTAATCAATAGTGTGACTAAAAAAAGTAACAAAAACACGTTTATTTTTGGCAATAAATGGCCTTACATTTACAATTTAATTGATCACTTTTGGCAAACAAATTGCCTATTAAGTAGATTAATTCCTTTTGCTAGCGACAAAATCGCTTTAAATCACAATTTTTGGCTAGTAAGCCCTTTAAAATCCAATCATTTTGGCGACCAATCGCTTAAAATCAATCATTTTTTGGCAATCAAAAATTGCCTAAACTTCACTTCTTTTTGTGGCTAAAAGCCTAAATCAATCATTTCTGGCGACAATCGCCTAAAATCAATCATTTTGGCAATCAAATTGCGCTTTAAATCACTCTTTTTTGGGCTAAAGCCTTAAAATTCAATCATTTTGGCGACAATCGCCTTAAAATTAATTCATTTTGGCAATCAAATTGCCTAATCAACGTTTTTGGCTGGAAGCCTTAGAAATCAAATCAATATTTTGGCAATAAAATTGCCCAATCAACTATTTTGCATCAAATGCCTAAAACTTCAATTTTTCAGGCAAAAAGCTCTAAAACCAAAATGCACAAAGCAACCACACCTCATTGAATAAGCCATCCATTCAAAGCCCCCTAGAAAGAGGCCTATCGAACTACGTTGAACTACGTTGACTTTGATCTTCCATTCAAACGGAAGTACGTAGGCACGTTTGGGATTTAACCCCGAGCGGCAAGTCGAAATCACTTAAACATCTCATTTGGTCCAAGTTACATCATTCACCTTGCAAAGCATGCATTTCATCGGTTAGTTTATCAACATGACATGGTCTCGGAATCCACCTCGGGTTTACACACCATGCCTTAACATTGGGATAATTAATCTAGAAACTAGGTTAATTAAAATTAGAGTCACTTAGGGTTTTTTCCTAGTTTACCCTAAAATAATTAAACAAGGTGGCGACTCACACACTCACACATCACGTTGCCCTAAAATAATTAAACAAGGTGGCGACTCACACATCACGTGCATTTCTTCCTTAGTCACATGCATTCATATGCCATGATATTCGGGGTAGGGGTCCACACTAGCAAATGTAAGCAATCTCTCTGTGGACATGAATCAACTATCATCTATAAGTTAGTTTTGTTTCATATCCTATAGCTATATTAAATAAAATGAAAAGCAAGAAACTAATTAATATTAAAACTTTTTTTTTTTTGAATGCCAAAAAATAAAAAACTAAGAACTGAATAAGAGCAAAAAAACTTCTTATATTTTGCTTGAAAAGTATAATCCAAGGGTTTAAGATATTTATGGAATGAAATTAAAAATCATTCAAATTGATGGAATTAAATTGATTCAATTAATTTTTAAGTGCTAATATTTTTTCTTTGATTTATTTTATTTTTCATTAAGTTTCAAAAATAAGTCCAGCATTACTAAAAGATAATTACAAATGGAATTATAATTTGATTTTATTCTGTTTTTACATATTTATTTTTTGGTGTGATATTCACCTTTTTTTTTTTTTGGTTATATAAATATGTGTGTATAATTGTTAAAAAAAAAAGGTTACTCGTATTTAAATTTCTAATATCTTCGTCTATGTTCTAAAGCATATATTATTCGACCAGTAGTTCAAGATTTGGGAGAAGTGAAATTAAAACCTAAATTCTAGTTTGGAATTGATGGGCAGAGATGTGAAATAGCATGATATGATATGATATGATATGCGGGCCACACGTGTTGTCCCTATCATTTCATATTCTTTTGCATGTGAACGTAATTGAACTCCCCTTTCGAAATAGGAGTTGAAGATCTCCACGCCACTTGGCTTTTGTAGCTATGTCCCACTAAAATTTTCAATGCATCACTAATGGGTAATCTACAAATTTGTGAAAGTTGTGAGATTGAGGCATCCTTTTTGAAGGTTATATACGCAATTCTCCATATCCTTATATTTATGTATGGCCATACATTTTAGTTAACCTAATGACTAACCAATTTCAAAAAATAATCAATGGTAAGTGTAAGAATAAAGACTACCGTCTTTTAATTCTCCATTCTCGTTACTGCAAAGGTTAATATTTGTTTTTTTTTTTTTTATCTTAACCAGAGATATCCCAATCCACTGGACTATAACTAAATCTTGCTCACATCGGGTCAGTCCACTAAGAGATAAAATGCTTTTAATGAATATTTGCTCTGTTTATAAGGATTGAACCTCGATCTCATTTAAGGAAAAAGAATGCATTTACTTTTATCTTTTCTAATTTTTTATATAATATTTTTTATTAGTAGAAGTAAGAGATGTAATTATTCTTTCGATTCATAAACTATTTCTCTATAATGAAACTTTTATTTTCATCCTTAATTATTTGAGGTTGTTTACCATCTCAACTAACACTTTGTTAGTATTTATTTTTATTTATGATTAAAATAATATTATCAGTTACACAAGAGATAAAAATTAGTTATAAACCTCCCTTGGTTTGAGTTTGATTGGTTTTTGATATTAGATTATAAATGAATATTATTTGATATTTAAAATTTTTTAATTTTAGTGAGAATATAAGAAAATAAATTTATTTTTTTCATATATAGAAAGTCTAATAAACCGAAATAATATTGAAGATTATATAAGATGAGTAACTCTACTTTTTGGATAAGATTCATCAAATTAGTGATAACTTTTCTAACGTAATAAAAAAAGACTCGAATTCAAAATTTTTTATTTCTTATATTTGTATAATTCATGGGAAGATCTACCATAATAATGGTCTACGAGAAAATAAATTTGTTGCTTTATATAAAAAGATTAATTTATGGTATATAATAAACTAATAATTTATGAGATTTTTTTTTTAATTTCTAAATAGAAGTTTTAACTATTAACGATTGATTGGAATCCTATTAAGTATTAAATAATAGTGGTAGATTGATTCGAGTTGGCCTTAAATCACTCCAAAAAGCCACAACCCACAAGAGAAAGTGGCAGGAAGCATCCAACCAAGAAGAAAAAACAAACCAATCAAACTAAATTACGTAACTACAGAAGCCGTACAATTCCTTACTCTGATCGTATAACCGTTTCGACTACACTCTACTCCTCTAGACTTATCCGGTTGATTTCTCGCACCAAAATCCGGTCCAACGGTGGAAAACGACTCTTTACAAAAAAAAAAAAAAAAAAAAACCTTTACAAAAAAAAAAAAAAAAAAAAAATCCACCTCAATCAATTTAAAAAGACGAATGGGCCCGGCCAAGCAACACGCTCAGATAGACAACCCCTGGCATGTTTTCCTTGCAGGCTATGGCGTTACCTTATCACTTCTAATGGATGAGGTTAATTTATTATTTTTTATTGTATTTTGTTTTGTGCTATGTTTGCGAAAATAAGGGCGTTAAAATCTTATTATTTCCACTTTCCTCACCAAATGAAGTAAAATTTGATTAGAATGATGTAAATTAAATTTATTTTATTACTATCGTTAATATTTAAAAAAAAAAAAAAAAAAAAAATCCACCTCATCATTTAAAAAGACGAGATGGGCCCGGCCAACAACACGCTCAGATAGAGCAACCCCTGGCATGTTCCTTGCAGGCTATGGCGTTACCTTATCACTCCTAATGGATGGGTAATTTATATTTTTTTATTGTATTTTGTTTTGTGCTATGTTTGCGAAATAAGGGCGTAAAATCTTATTATTCACTTTCCTCCCAAATGAAGTAAAAATTTGATTAGAATGATGTAAAATAAATTTATTTTATTACTATCGTTAATATTTTTATCCAAACTAAATAAAAAATTTCGAAAACTCTAAGACATTTTTCACCCTTTATTTTACATCTATCCATATTTTACACTCATCTAAACAAAACATTAAACATGAAACCTATCTCATTATAGACTCAATAGTTGCACCTCTCTTTTTTTGAAAGCAAATAAGAGCATATATTTATACAGTTGCACCTCTCTTTTAAGTATGGGTCTAATCTAATTTTGCACATATCATTGTCAAAATTTTACGTGCATTACTTATAAAATATTATCGATACAATTATACTAAAATACAAAAATGGAAATGACAATTATGAATTAAATTTTCATCAATTTAATAAATTAAGGAAAATTATATATTCGTTAGCACAGATAAGACAACGCCACAATAAAAATAAGAGTAAAAATATTTATATGGACTATAATATTATTTCAGTTTATAGAGATTTTTAATAAATTAAAAAAAAATAAAGATCCCTTGGTCCCAACTGTTAAAAAAGTAAAAGAAAAATTATTAAAGATGCATTAGGTGGCTGAAAAAACAAAAACAAAACAAGTGAGTGACAAAATAGAAATAAGATTAGCAGCAGGTAAAATAATTAGATAGAAAGCGTGTAACAAGCGCGTATGTCTCATATCATGCCTTACTTCACCACCAAAATTCCTTTTCTCTGTTGTCTCTCCATAAACTTGGCTATTTCTAGTCCCTTCTTTCAATCCAATGTCTCCACTACCACAAACCCATTTCTCCTGTCCCTCTCTCCCTCTCCTTGTCATTTGTGGTTTTTCTTTACGTCTCTCTGTTTCTAAAACTGGCTTCTGAGATATTCTCAGGAGGTTTGTACATTCTATTCTGCAATCCCAATCAGGAAGGCTTAAGCATAAATAGGTATGTCCATTTGACATTTCTTTTTGGTTCCGGTTTTAGCTGGTTCTTTTGCTTCTTTTTATTGCTTGTACCTACCACAACCCATTTGTATATGTGATGTGGAAACGATACAAGGAAGCAAAAAGCAAAAGAATTCAGTTTCTGCCGAGCTATTTGGCACTATGAAATCTATATGTCCAGATATGATTGTTTGCTAATCTTTGTTAATTGCTTGTTTGATTTTTATTTTCATTTCTCTATTAATCAATGTGAGTTTCTGCAATTCTCTTTTTTTAATTGTATTTTCTTCTTTCTGTGGATGATTTTTTTGCTGTTATCATATAGGGAAGGTGTTCAAGAAACGTTTCTTGAAGCTTCTGGACAGAAGCTGTTGCCTTTACAACTCTGGCCGACACTTGTGTGATATTTGCTCGAACCAGGGCAGGTGGCGGTTCTCTGTTTTCTGGTTGTTGTACATCTTTGTCATCATCATCATTCTCACCATCCTTCTGCACTCGTTCGTTGCTTTCCCACCTTCCAATAGATTACGGCTAAATTTTGATTTAACCATCTTGTATGTGATCTCTACTTTTTCATCAATTCCTCCACTTTGTGCCTTAATTAGCGGTCACTAGAGATGTAAGCATCAGTTACATAGATTTTACTCTTCAAGAATAGAGGAAAAATCAAAAGAGTAAAAGAAGAAAAAAGGAAATAAGAGTTAGGAGATAAACAAAGTGCTTGTTTGTTCTTCTTTGGAGGAATTATATTTAGCCAGTTGTCTGAAATGGCAAAATTCGTGTGCTGCTTTCGGCCCGCCGAGGAGAAGAAGGAAAAGAAGGTGAGAATTGATTCGATTTTGGATTCTTTACAAGTTTTATGCTTCTTGTTTGAAATATTTCATTTCTAAGTGAATTTTTTAACTTGCTCAAATTTCCCAATTGTTTGATATTAGGTGGATAAGGAATTATTAAGGCCAATTGAGTTCAACAAGGGGCACAAAACCATGAAAATTAGGCTTGAGCATCCGGTGAAACCTTTTGAGAGTGATGAGTTGATAACCACATCATTCAATGTGACAGTGGATTCAGTGCCCTTTGGTATCCAAAAGGAATCTCCAAATGTCAAGGTGAAGAGCCTTCAAAATTCTTTGAGGGATGAAGAACCAGAGATTGCATATGAAGGGGAAGATGAGCATGAAGAAATTGCCTCAATGAAAAGGGATTTGTCTGATGTTGATCTCCAAGCTAATACATCTAATTCAGCTGAGGAGTTTGCTTTAAGAAGTCCAAACTTCAGGTGCTCTAGTTCATTTGATATCAAAGTCAATGAGCGATGCCCAAACAAAGTTGAGAAAGATAGTGAAAAAGGCAATGATGAAATCCAAACTGGACATGTTAGTGATCCTGGGATTGGAAAAGCTGAGTTATGGGGTTCACCTAAGCTTAAGCGATCTTGCTCTAACCTGGAAACGAGCAAAATGCAAAAAAGAACAGCTGCTAAATTGACTCGTTCAAGATCTGCATCTTCCAGGGAGTCAGAGGAACTATATGGTAAATTAAGGGATCCTGGCAGCCCTGCATCTATGACAAGCCACTGCAGCGCAGATAGAGTGATGTTAAAGAAGCATTCTTCAAGTCAAGTTCTACCCTCCAGGAGTAGAAAGTTGTGGTGGAAATTGTTTCTTTGGAGCCATAGAAACCTGCATAGATCGTGGACAGTGAAACCAAAGAGGCAAACTGTTACTGGTTTAAACCAGCACTGTGGGTATTATTCAGATACAGTTGAGCCAAATGGAGCTATAGTATTGAGCAACATGCAGTCACCTGGCTCATTTACTGGAGAATCGCAGAACAAAGGCCAGAACAACAATGAAGATGAAAAACAAAACTGGGACGGGTTTCATGGTGGGATTTCTGGTTTATGGCCTCAAAAACAGTGGGTTGCTTTCTCAGTTGAAGCATCTCCATTTGCAAGAGTGGACGAGTGGGTAAAAGAACTTGCAACTCAAGAACAGCCTCCTCATGTTTATAGTGATGATGCTGATAACAGTGGTAAGGGAATTGTCTTCCCACCTTCTCCTGAGATTGGTAGATCACCAGCAAGAATCTTGAACAACTTCACTCGACGTCCAGACATTAATCTCTCTGAGGAGGTTTTGCATGCCAATTGTCTTATCCAGTCCCTGAATTCTTCATCAACTGTGGCTCATATATCGGGTATTGGCCTAAAAGCCATTCCCACCATATCATGCTTCACGAGTCTGCGATCAGTTAACTTGTCAAACAATTTTATAGGTATGCCTTTTAGCTGATGCCGAAACTGCCTAGTGTTGAAGGTACTTAATTGGTACTAACATGGCTGTTCTTCCTCTTTTTGCAGTGTACATTAGCCCAGGATCATTACCAAAAGGTCTTCATACGCTCAATTTGTCAAGAAATAAAATCAATGCCATTGAGGGACTCAGAGAATTAACTCGATTGCGAGTACTTGATCTCAGTTACAATCGTATTTCGCGAATTGGACAAGGTATAACTATTTATGCAAATAATGCCATTCAAATCCTTTCGACAAGATTGTTTAATTTTGATGTATGAAGTTACATAATTCCTACAGTAAGTGACTCTAAATCTGCATGCTGTATTTCGATGAATACCAGGGTTATCAAACTGTACAATAATCAAAGAACTCTATCTTGCTGGCAACAAGATTAGTGATGTGGAGGGGCTGCACAGGCTGTTGAAGCTTACAGTTTTAGACCTGAGTTTTAACAAGATAACAACAACAAAAGCCCTCGGGCAGCTTGTTGCTAACTACAACTCGCTGCAAGCTTTAAATCTTTTAGGCAACCCGATTCAGAACAACATCAGTGAAGACCAGCTTCGCAAGGCAGTTTGCAGTCTCCTTCCAAAGCTAGTATACCTGAACAAGCAGTCCATTAAACCACAGAGAGCACGGGAGGTTCTTACAGATACAGTTGCCAAAGCAGCCCTTGGGACCAGTACTGGTTGGAGTTCTCGCAGAAGAGTGACAAAGAGATCAAGTTCCAGTGGTTTGGCCTCCTCAAGCGTTCACAGGAGCAATGTTGCTGCAAAACAGAAAACTAGGAGCAGGTCAAAGAGCCGAACTCATCACCAAAAGACAGTGCCATCTATGCGTTCATCTTCCTTGCACTAAATGTTTTCTCATTCGGGAAACCTTGTCTAATAATTCAGTATCTGTTTTGTTGTTACAAGCTCGGGTTTTCTCGATTCCTCAAGAATTTTGGTTATGTATTTTGTCATATATTGGGTTGGACTAGTATTTTTGTAGTTCAGCTTTTGGGTCTTCATGGTTGTTTAATGGAATGCAATTAAAATTTCTCAGTTTGGTTTAGTGCGGCATTCAATTGTTTTTCCTATTCTAGGCATATCAGATTATTTTTCAGAAATCTTTTAAAAGGAAATGCATCAGGATTTAAACTAGCGAACAACTAATTTCTTGAACTAGCAGGCTAACTTCACCAAATTATGCATTCTGGAAGAGAAGGACATTAACCAGTGGGTTCCATCTTTGGCTTGTATAACTGTACTTGAATTTTTAGCTTGTGATTCTTGAAGTTGGAAATCAACAACTCCACCCCAAGATTTAGCAAGGGCCAACTTAAACGGAAAGCCAAAGAACCATTGAGAAAGCAAAGGGCTGGTGTCCCTTATGAAGGAGTTTGTTCTTATCTACCAACAAATAATTCTTTAATTCACAAAATAGCATCGAAAATGACAGTGAACATTCCTAAACCAAACTTTTCCTTCAGCCACAGAAATAAAACTGCTGAATGTGAACTGTCCAAAATATTATTTGTGTACAAACAAAACTAATCACGAACAATGAAATGAAGCCATGTGTGCCTGTCCCAACAAAATAAGCAAATGAATAAAGTCAAAAGTCCAAGGACATGACAACTAAGAGAAAAAACTCCTAACCTTGAAACATTGTCACGTGCCTAAACAAAATTTGCAGAAAATTTATCTTTATAGAACATCCAGTTACATCTAATAATTAAAGCCAGAAAAATAATTATGTGAACACCAGAGATGCATTTTGCAAATCCCAAGATTTTGATGGATTTCCAATATTTTAAATTATGGAATTGAATGGTATACTGACAGGAGATTTAAGCAAACACAGCTTACCTGTTGGCATTCAGTTACAATAGTATGCTTCTCACCATTATATTAGCAGAGAACTTAAAAAGAATTTTAAAGCAGAAACTTGCATAAAAAAGGACAGCGGTAATCTCACTTGCTAAAAAAAGAACAGCACTAATCTCAATTTTCGAAACTTCTAATAAAACATTCCATCTCTTTTTCAGTCACATCTCATCAAGCACCTGTAAAAATGTTAGGTTAGGGTAACAGCATTCAAATATTGCTGACCAAAGCAGGAATGATATCTTCTGCTAATATAATGTTTCAGGCTTTATTTCATGTTAAGCGAGAAGAAATACCTATGATATGCCTATACACTTATTTAAAATATTTTTTTCTCATCTCATGTTTCATGTTTAGTGTGTGTTTTATGAATTCAAATTTAAGCATGTCAATGTATCCTAGTGATAAGTTTAGAAACAACTGGTAAAATTAAGCCTAACGTTTCATGATTGTCAACTCAGGTAGATGCAACCAAATATGTCAAACAAAAAAGTATACTTGAACTAATCAACAATGCTGTTTACAATGTTTCCCACATGGGAGAAGAGGATGGAAAGGAGGGGAGGGGGTATTGTTAAATATTTTACACATAAAAAACACCTTCAATTATTGCTAAGAGCTAAAATCAAGATCATCCAGCTTCTGCTTAATACCCATAGTAACAACAATTCAAGGACTAGTTCTGTATCATGACAAAGATAAACAACTTGGAAGTACATACAATGGAAAACAAAGAGATAGTTATAATTACAGCTTTCTTATTTTAACTGCACGTGAGAACCTCTTTTACATCCATCATAGAGCCATGATGTGATCAAACATGTTCTCAGAACAGTATTGACACCAGAGGCAGCAAGCTGCATCTGACAAACTGCATAGAAAAGAGAACGAGAGAATCATTAATGAATAGAACAAGAGTATCTTGAAAGCAAAATAAAATGTTTATTATTATGAAAATGTAATACATCCAAAATCAGATTTTATGCACCTTAAGCAAATCTGAGCTTGTAAATATCATGATCATATTGTATATACGAGAGTACGTCATCTCTTGCAAAAGTACATGCACACACACACAAGAAGAGCATTTCATTTGCCAATTGATTTTGGACAATTTTCAGTGACAAATGACAGGAGTTAAATGGAAACTTAGTGCCCTAGCATGCAGTTTTAGGAATTTTTTTCTTTGCAAAGAATACAAGACAGATTTTTAAATAGTCATAAATTTCTCCTCAGAGACATAAAATATACACTCACAACCCCATTCCCCAAAAAGGAAAAGAAAAAAGAACTGGGATGTTGTGACATTATGCCCTAAACAGAAGTATAGGTACCACTTTCAAAAACCATCAAAAGTAATCATAATCAAATTTAGCATCGTCTCCTGAATTTATAGTCAATACTATGACAACTGCAATTTGAGAAAGTATTTGACTAAAACACCAAAATAATATTGTTCTCAGAGATCTTTACAGTAAATAAACAGTAACATGTCAGAGATCAAAATCCACATTACCTTATCATGTTCCATTTTTACCACTGCTTTCTAATTTCCGATCACTCAGTAGTCCAGAACCAAATAAACTTTTCCCTCCCATCTCAGAGACCTTTTGCATATTATAAATGTGCCAACTATGCTCACAAAAGAAAAATAAATTTCTACATCATTTCCCTCTCAAACTATAATCCAATTCCTCTTCCTTCATTTGAGCATATTTATAGAGCTTCTCATTGAAAATCACTTGTGGATCCTTATTAATCAAATTCCCACTCTCATCATAAGCATCTTTCAAAAACACAACCCAGTTCATCTCTGTACCAGCAAGATAAAATGTCCGGGGCTGCCTCTTAAGCATATCATATGTATGCCTAGTCAAACAAAATTCCTCCTTAAACTCCACAATGTGATGTATAGATGCCCTTTTCTCCAAAGTCAGGCTTAGAAACTCATGCAAAACCCCAACCCTATACTTCTCAGCCTCCAAACTCCAAAGTTCCAATCTTTCCCCATCACTATAAGGGGAAACCAATGGTAAGGTAGTAAAGAAATTCAGCTTCCTTTTATCCTCCTCGTCCAAATCTAAATCCTTTGCGTGCTTCAATGGGAACTTAAATGCCCTTTTAGCCTTATCCTCATTGACCATGAACTCTTTCTCCAATTCACTTACAGCCAAACTTGGATCCCAATTAACTAATTCCAACACTCTATTGCCATCATCCCCAACCACAATTCTAAAATAATCAGGGTATTGAACCACTCTATCTCTAAAATCATCAGGAATGCCAAACAAAAAACGGCAATGATGAATCTTACTCAAAGGAATCCGCTTTTTCTTAGATATCATTAGCAACTTCAGCACCTTATTAACCCGATCGCTCTCCATCGAATCCATTATTGCTCTTTCTTCCTCGAGCAATTCTTCCATGAAATCAGTGAATCCGAGCCACATTTTGTTATCGGTGTGCCGATAAGTTTGGAAGATGAGCGGGTGGCGCTGAATAAAGCGGGTGACTTTGCGGCCACGTGAAAAGCCAAGCTCTCGATAAAGCTTGCCAGCGTCATCAAGGCGGAGGACGTGCTCTGGTTGCTGGGAGAGGAATTGCTTGGATTTAGTGAGGAATCTGAAGTAAGAGTCGCGCTCGACAAGGGATTCAAAATGGGGATTTCGCGTGGAGGGATGCTGAACGGGTTTGGTGCGTGGGGAATCGGGTTTTTTGCGTTTTTTCTTGTACTTTTTGGGGATTTTGGTAACAAGGAAGGAGGTGGAGAATGGGGAAATGAAGAGAAGAGTGAAGGGGTTTAGGCTCGGGTTAGGGTTTTGGAATTGAAGTGAAGTTAGGGCTTTGGAATTTGTAATTTTGGAGAAGAAGAGGCGCCAAGCCATGGAATTCAGATTTGGAGGTAAATCAGTGAATTCTCCTTTTTTTTCTTGGTCTATGTTAGTAATCAGAAATCAACCGTATTTGGTTACGTACTCGGCGGGAAATAAAAACAGGTAATTCCGTAATTGTGAAAAGATTCATTTTTTTTTTTTTCTCTTACCAGTTTACAACATTGCACGAATGTGTTTTTGCAGAATACATTACATTTTCGAAACAAATATTACAGGTCTCGAAATAAGACCAATCAGTCCACCTATAATTGATTCTTATTATTGTAAGTATAATCTTTTTGTAACCTTAGCTTTTTTTTTTTTTTTTTAATTCATTTCTTTTGAGTAATGGGAAAGTAGAATGTTAATAGTTAGAATTCAACCCCGCCCATAGTTAAAAGATTGTAGTTTTGTCTTACTTATCGACCTGCAAAATTATTTGTTTGTCTTTTGTCTTTCTCTTTGTACAAAAACAGAGTTAATTGGGAGGGTGGTACAACTAGTTTGGACCATAATTATTATACCAAAAACATAAATATTTGAAGCACTCGTGATGTTTCATTACTTGCAGAGGTGGAACCCAGACACAGATCATGTACTTGAGTGAGATCATGCACTTGAGTGAATGTGGATCCAACCGTTCTGCCTCAGATTGTAGGCCATATATAATCACTTGTCATAGTACCTTCAAGTCCATAAATAAGACATCACGTCTGCAAATCAATGGATCTAAAGAGAAGGTCAAGCAGCTTGCAGCTTTATTAAACCATTCAGCACGAACATAACACATTATACTGTTACCCAAGACAGATGTAAAAACAGATTTATAATGACAGGATAAGTAGAAGGAAAAATAAATAAATAAATAAATATTCCTTACATAAATGAACTGCCAAGCATTTTTATATACTACATCAAGTATGAACTTGCTTATTCTGTAATCATCTTCACAATCTAAATCATGTGGTTGTATAAGTTGTAATTTGACATCGCATTGGGACATGGATATTGAAATCTGATTCTATACTCTCGTTTGCCCGGCATCTCAACTGAGTAATTACATTGCCCTATGTATGCCTTACGGCTTCATAGGAATTGTGGTTGGATCCACCAAAAGTTCATTTGCTTCCTCTCATCTGTTTCCCTTTTCTGTTTTCAAAATTTTTTTGATTTGTCCTCTCTACACTGGAGCTTTATGATCATTAAATTAACATTGCAAAATGAATATGAATAGTATGATTTAATTTCTTAGGCTCCCTTTTGAGTAACTCATACTCAGCTTGCTTGCCTCTTAAAGAAAGGTTTCTGGCAGATAAGGAGCCTCTCGTCACTGTTACTTTCGATCTCTACGACCCGTGCGTCCCACTTTAGCCTTGTAGCTAGAGCTCTTGCTGATTCAATGAGTGGTGCTGTGTCATGTATTATCACCCAACCCTGCATCGACCACAAACATTAAGACACTTGAAAGAAAAGGGCAATTTTACCATGCAATCATAACAGATCAACTGTTCCTGTAGCATTCAAACATTAATTGACCATAAGAAAACTTTAATGTTATTTAGTCACCCTCTCAACAATTACATTTTGCAAGTGAAATAGAATGGAAGTTGGTCATGCATTGAAAAGCCTTTTTAAGAACATAGTCAAAATTCAAGAAACTAGCATCAAATCCATTTGAATCAGCTGCAAGACAATTATATTCATTATAGTTTGCGAGGAGCTGCAAGCATGCTTTTCTTTTAATCAGTGACATTTTTGGCTTATCATTAACCGCATCAGTGGCTCACCTATACACAATACAATCTATGAAGTGTAAACATGATGAATGTCTTTTTCACAATGAATGATGATACAAAAGGCTACCTAAGAAACTCCAGACAAGACAACAGCAAGTGATTACATACTAGGACAAAGTTAAAGTGACTCATATGGTATAAAGTCCTCTATGGAGAGAATTAACAAGTTAGTAGCAATATAACTGCAAAGGTAATTCTTAGAGTCATGCACAAGCATATGAGGGTAACTTAGAGACTTTTAAAGATGAGCAAAGGAGGTTGTTTAGACAGTGTATCCAACCAAGAGACGTTGACAAAAATAAACATATCCATTTTTCTCACAACCGCATAACGAAGTTTATTTAAGTCAAGTACCTCTGGGCGAAGTACTCGATCAACCTCAGTGAATATGTCCAGCATGGTACACCTACGCTGCTGACCAGCTTCAAGGGAAAGAAGTCCTGCTGCGTGCACTAAATCATAAGTTCTAGGATATGTTGGGAATGCTTCACACCTGACATGAAAAACATCCAACCAATTAACAGAGTGAAAAGGTAATAAAAGCATAACTCCAACTACAAATTACTACACAATTCCTAAATGAACCTAATTAAAATCCATCAATTGTTGACACAAAAAACTTACTGCATCAACCAATGTTACAAAATTAAAATATGCTAAAATCCAAGAACAATCTAAAAAATTTTCTATAAATTTCAAGTGATAGCATGTCCATCAGCAAGCATTCTTCCAAAGGGTGATCTTTTGAAATTCCAATTACATAAGCATAATGGTTGTAACTGACTTCAGGGAGGAAAATTAGTACAGTGCTATTACTAAGCTTCACTATGAAAAATGTATTCTTTCTGAGGGACTACCATTAACTGAAATTGAGCATGAGGTTTTCTTGTCAACACTTTCACATTGACCAGTAACGCCTGCCTAGTTCATTATCAGGACTGTAAGCTGAAGGCCTTCTGGGTTCTGGTGGAATTGTTTCTATAATCTCTTGGGGTTAAACCACTCAGAAAAAACCTTTTGGCCAGTCAGTTTCCTATTTCTAACCGAGTTTAAGGCAGAGGTATCACAAATCTCAGAATTTATTTACTTTTCGAAAAACTCAGAGCTAAAGTGCTTGCATATGCTTGAAGGACCAATTTAATGCCAACTGCTTCTGATAAGTTAGTACAGGGATAGTGAGCTATCAGAAAGATGGCAGATGGATGATAGAATTACCAGTCATGCAATACACCAACAAAGCCTCTGTCAAGAATCATGGGTAGATGGTTAGGTCCACTTGTTGGCACCACATTCATTACCCACACAGATTTCCCAGCTTCCAACAGTGCAGAATTAAAACCACCAAATTGAGCATTCATATCTAGCACATTTCTAAGCATGTTATAAGGCGGAGAAGGATCCTCATCACCAGGTCTCTTTGGATGATCTGAGAATATTAATGGTGACAGAAGAGACCAATAATTAGTGACTGCTGTTCTCCAATTTAGAGAGTCCTCTGTGAATTCTTCTGAGTGCAAACCTGATGAAGTATATAAGAAATTAACATAAAACTGAGGGTAAAAATATAAGAATATAACATAAAATAAAATGCAAGGATAAAAATGGCTAAGATTCTCACTCTTGGTATTTATATCTCTATGTTTATACATTAAGATACTGTTCTCAAACTATGTATAAGAAAGTAGCTATTACCATATATTGCCAGCTCATTCTTGGTCAACTGAGACCTTGAAGGCCAGGTGCTCCTCTCTTGTATTGGAGTCCACCGGCGACTCTGTGTTCCTGCTATGCATGCTTGGAGTGGTCGATAGTAAGGAGATTCAACATCATGACCTCTACTGCAGACAGAAGGGCCTGAACCAGACTTCCTAGAAACAGGAAACAGCTCGTGCTGTAAATTATGACCATATAAAGTTCTCAAGCAGTTAAGTGTGCATTTATATACAAGCAACATGACAGATGATATATTTCTGTTGCTGACACTTCACTTTATATACCCAATTTCCAATATGCAATAACTATCTAAATGCCTCAAAGAGACATCGGTATTAATGTATAATCCTTCTAGTATTAGAATAAAACACGATAGAAAAATATTTGATACCCTGACCAAATCCATAAAATAGCGAATTGCCAATATTAACAAAACTATTTTGGCAATTGTCTTACCTGGAACTGTAGCAGTTCCTTTTTGTAGTCTTTTTCCACACAACAGTTTCATCTTGTTGAGATAACATCTCCCAACAGATATTTTCTGCAAAGTCTCGGACAAAATTCCACCTTTTCAGGTTCTCTTTGTTACGAGCATTTGTAAGAGGTGAAGTCCAGACAAAGTATCCACCGGGCTTTAAAACTCGATCAACTTCAATCAGAAAGATACCATCTGCACATGTAAATATTAAATTAGTAGGAGTGCAGATAATGCGGATAGTATTAGGATTTGCCTGAAGACAATTAGCAAATTTATGATACAAATATCTTCAATGGATATCTATCTTTTAAATACATCAGCAAGTTTAATGAAAATTAACTCGAATCTTACAATTTGATTGTGAACCGTAGGATTCTATTAACACTAGTTAGAACTTGTACAGGAAATATGGAAAGTAGGATTCAGACTATCTCACATTTCAATTCATTTACATACTATATTAATTACTGATGTAACACCAATGTAGAACTAGTACCTTTTTTGTCCCAATCAATGCCACATCGTGCACAATGCAGCATATCAAAGGAAAGAGAAGGATATGGCAACTGTGTTGAAGTAAAAGAACCAATCATTGCAGGAAGACCCCTTTCAAGAGTAAGCTGAACTTGACTGCCTGAAGCTTCATAGTTTGCAATGCACATAGTTAAAAGCTGTTCTCGAAATAGATGTGCTCCAAAGCTACCATAACCACATCCTATGTCCAAAATGGTTCTTACCTACAAAAATTAGGAAATAAGTAATAATTTATCATTAAGTGACTTCCTCCAAAGGAAAACTAACATCATAAATACAATATTATGAGAGCAGGTAACCGTTGCATCAAACCCTGTCATGGCATTGTAAAGCAACCTCACATGATATCTTATGGCACTTTTTTGCATCTAAAGTTCCAAATGATGATAATGTCTTTGCAAAACTATGTGTAATAGTGGCTTAATCCTAAATTTGATCTGCACGAATACAGGATTAAATAATAGAAGCATATTTTGAAGCATTTTGGAGCCTCATTGAGTTAAAGTTGCAGAATTCTATTCATGCTAGAATTCAAACGTTGTGAGTGAATCTCTATCACACACTGTCAGAATTTCTGATTATAGCAAGTTGAAAATTAGCTCCTCCCATTGTTTACTTAAAAATTTCTTATTGGCCAGGATCACTTTATAGCACTACCATGTCACAAAATTAAGAGAGCACATGAGACAGGATAATTAGTTAAATTTAAATGCATAGGTCTGTGTATATTGAGTGAGAAAGAGCGACAGAGAGATTGCATATATCCACTTACCCCAGCTTTTATGAAGCTAGATTCATTTCTTAGTCCAATCATTTCAGCAATTTGATGAGAGTAATCTTCAACACCATCGAACATAGAGGCTGAACGAAAGGAAATTTGCTCTTGATCCAACATCATCATTCTGGCAAACCACATTAAAGGAGAATTGAATGAACAGTAGGAAAGTAAAAAAGATGAATTTAATAGAACTTGATAGAAAAATTCTGGTCACCTCTTGGTCAGACTACCGGAGGAAAGTACTTCCTGTGCAGTAATTTTAACATTTGAGACCCAGATAACATCTCTTCCAGTAGGCCATCGAAGAGGAATCCTATAATTTACTGGTGGAAGCACTAAACAATTCTGCCTTGATACTTGCCCACAATGACGGTCATTCTCAGTACCATCAGAATAACCCAAAGCAAGGTTCTCTGAAACATTGAAGCAAGGAACATGATTTTCAGACTCCTGAGGACAGAACTCCACTTCCTTCAACCTTGAGGAACCAAGAGACAATTCGCCAATATCCCATAGGTCCGAAACAAGTTGCTCCTGAAGCCGCCTATAATTATGGAGTATCTGAACTCTTGATGAGGTTGATATTGAGATAGTCCACCAGAAAGATCCAGTAAGAGCAAGAACTAAAATCACAGCTAAACTCAGCTTCAAAAGCAGCAATGTGAATTTGTGCCTACTTCTTGGAGTACCAATGCTGAATGGATCAGATGCAAAGCCATTTTCACCAGTTCCATATTTAGAAGGAGAGCTATTATCAGGGAAAAGCACCCTAAGAGGAAATTTCAGGGCTAAATAACTTTGATCTGACGAACGGTTTCTATCCAAATCTTCCTTTTCTGTTTTATCTTTCATTTGGGAGTCCCATAACTCTTGACTGTTCCCTGAGTTCCTCCCTGATATGCCTCGATGCAGAGGCCTAGACATTTTCTAACCTGAAAATCCCCACAATAAAAGAAAAATTTTTTATATATGAACAGATGACACCCAGCTTGGTTCGAAGCTAAAGACAAAGAATCCCATATAAGATATTACACCCAAAAATGTTCTTTATCAAATCCTGAAAACATTGGATTGAGCCAAAACCACTTATTGTTTACTGTAAAACAAGCTGAAACAAAAGAAAGAGATGACTAGTATCTTAATTGAAGATCAATTCCCAACTAATGAAGCTAGATCCATAACCCAGCAAAACATAAAGACTGTAAGTGAAAAGAAAAAATTACAAATATTTAAAAGAATCAACTTTGTTGGTAATCCTAAAACTAAACCCAGAAAAGGGAAAAGGAAAGAGACAATTAAGATTCAAAGAAACTAAAGAGCAAGTAAAATCAGTTACTTTTTTTTTTTTTTTGGTAATAAACCATTAGAATCACTTTTATTAAGGTCCTTAACCTCGAAGAAGCAAAAGGGCCAACTTAAATCCCAGTGAAATTCCACTTCATTTCAGTGCCTCACACTAAAATATTAACAAAAAAAATCTCATAAAGATCATCAATCAAATAGCCAATAGAAAAAAGATAAACAAAATCATCCGCAATCTAGCCAAATCTAGCAAAAGAAAAAAGATAATTGAAAAGAGAGAAAAAAATTACCTTGTACAGGAGCACAACAGATATGCTAAAGTGCTGAAACAAAGTGCAGAAAGAATTCCTGAAAATCAGAAAAAATTCACCAATGGTTTTCCGTTTAAACCCACAAAAAGCAGCACCTTCGGTTCTTCTCGTTCTTGTTCTTTTATCTTCTTTAGGCTTCAAATCCCAATTACATCTATCCCTCTCTCATTATTAAACCTTTCTTGTCTGATACATACTTGGGAGCGAGAGAAAGAATTTGTATGGATCCAATCCAAGACAAAACTCTCGTGAAAACTGAAAAACTAATCCTTTTATATATAGTTCCTTTGATTTGAGGTGGGTAATGTACAACTGTGTAAAATATGCTTCACTATAGTGTAACTGTGTAAGTAGCCAACGCGCTTATTCCCAGTTCCCCACCTGCACAACTCCTACCTCGCAAAGGCCAAAGCTTTTTTACTACTATCATTTATAGTTCCATTTCTACATAGCACACTGTAATTAGCGTGACCAACTTTATTCGGCAAAGTCGATAGATTGAACTCTAAAATTGTCAATTTAACCTTCAAAATTTTACCTAGATACCACTTTATAGTTGAACTTAAGATGAAAACAAGTCTGAAAAAAAAAAGGAAAAAAAAGAAAAAATTTCTATTTGCTATTTATAACATGGTATATCTTAGTTGCATTGTGCTTTCCTTCGTCTTTTATTTCTAAATTAAATAATTCATTTCATCTTTTTACTTAAAAAAAATATCAAGTTTGAAATTCATTTAGGTATATAATCATTTAAAGCAAGTGGGCATTTGAATTTACATCTGCAAAAAAATAAAATTGCATGTGTAATTTTTGAACTATAGTGATTTCGTATTTTCTCAGCTATAATAATTTTATATGTAGAGTCTATTTCTGCTCATTCAATCTTTCGTTCCAAAAAAAAAAATGGAATTTAGAATTTACTATGAAACCGTGTGTAGATCTGAGGACAGAGGAACAGAAAGAGAGAGAAAGCAGACCCCCAAACCAATTATTATTATTATTATATATAAATAAAAAAGGTTTGCTTCTGTCTGTGGTGTGATCACGTTTGGCTTCCGCCGGAATTGCCGGACACTTACCTCTGTACATGAATTTATAAATAAATTATTTAATTTTTATGGAATTTCTGCAGGTAAATATTAAGTATACAAATAGTAATGCCTCCTGTCACTTATTTATATTAATCTCACATAATTATTAATAATTATTGTTATTAAATAGTAAAATGGAATTCCCTCAGAAATGTGGTTTTTGTGTTCTGTTATTGTAATGAATAACAATGATGATACATGTCGTTTTGAGGAGGAAATGTCGATGAAACGAAATGATTTTTCACGGTCCAAAAGGTCACAGTTTTAAGACAGATTTTCAACCCCTAATTACTGCTACATTACCAGTCAAATTGCCAAAAGACATTGCTGTTATTTTAAATTTCTTATTTGTTATATTATAAAATAAATTAGAACACCGGACAGTATTTATCTAAAATTAAATTATGGAGGAAAAAAAATATTTATCAAAAATAAAATTTCAATTCTCCTCTTCTATTTATTTATTAATAGTCGAGCGAGAGTGAATAAAATAAATAAATAAATAAATAAAAGTATCGAACAATTTTTCCATTTTGGCCGTAGGGGATGAGTTCGCCGGCGCAGGGAATATTGTGCCAAATGGCGAAATGTCTCTGCTCTTTCCAATCATATCAAAGTGGATGGTGCAGATTGGCTTTTAACGGGTAATGTGACTATTCAATGGAATTTATGAAATATGGAATTTATAGATTGTGAAGTTAACATTTTTAAACCATAAAAATCAGTATTATTTATAATTTTGAATGGATTTTTAGAATAACATTAATTAATTTAAATACATATATTTTATGGTTTAAATTTCATTCATTCAGATGAATTCATAACATTTAATAGAAATGAAAGTAATATTTTTTTATATGATATATAATTATTGACTTAATAATAAGTGTATATATGCGATACGAAACATATCTAATTTGTTATCCACTGTATTGCCGTTTTTGAATCAACACCTTTAATCTTATTCATTGTAACTATTAGTAGATTAAACTTAATTAGTAAAGTACAAATTAATTAGGAAATAATAAATAAAAACATGATATAAAAGCATTTAGTATTCGATGGAGAAATCCAAGTCCAAAATATTTCAATAAAGAATTAGTTACAGAATGATGCAATCAAAGAATTTCATTAAAATTAATGTCACACAATTCTATTTTTTTAATGTGGAGACGCATAGAAAGAGATAGATCACATGTGACATCAAGATCAAAGTCAATTTTCGCCTCGCCGTATAAAAATACTATACTAATACCGTATTTTTAAACTTTTGATTGGGGGCGGGTCCATCTCTGCCGCGTTTCTCTGTCGGTGGACCGACTTTGTAACGCGTCTGCTACATATGGAACCGGTTGTATCTACTGCTACATATGGAACCGGTTGTATCTACGCTTGTCGCAGAAGATTCACGGGAATTTAAGATTCACGAGATGTATTTGAATTCCGGGTCACGGCGGGTTTGCTGGCTCAATGCTGAGCTGGACAACAATTTTGGTCACGAGAGTTTTTGGAGTCGAGTACTATTTGGACTGACATGGCAAATGGACTTCAGCCTCCAGTTTTTTTTTTTTGTAATTTTAATTTTAAATTTAAAGATTCAAATATAATAATTTTATTTTATTTTTCTAAAAAATTAAAATGGCAGGGAAAGTACCATAGATATAATGATAATGGGTACGTTTTGATGTGGATTATAAATAGTTGTTGGAATTTTCCTTTTATCAGTGGGGTCATAGTTGCAGTACTGTCTCTTCACTAGTTCTATAATAACTAAAAACTTGAGTGTGTTCGGAATTTTTGGTACTTATCGCATTTATGTAATTAGTTTTGTTAGTAAATTTTATGGCATGTTTGAACTAATTGTTCTTTCAACTTACATTACAACCAGCTTTATATTTGCTCACTATCATGGGGTAAGTGGCAACCTACTTGGCTATGCAGCTTATAGCTTTTCTTTTCTTTTCTTAGAGAAATAAAAAATATTTATAAGTTAACATCGAGCGTTGATCTGATCTTCTTATTTATATAATAAATAAAAAGTCTCAAATTTGAATCCTTTCGAATATATTTATTTTCATTAAATTTGTGCGCCAAAGGAACAGTACTCTTATTATGTAGCTCGTAATATTATTTCAGCCATAAAAGGCTCAATGGATTAAAAATATATTTATAATTTGTTTGGCATTATTTTTTTTTTTTAAACCCATTTATAATTTACAAATATTTTGAAGCAAATATTTTAAAACTATAAATTATTTGTTTTATATATACCATTTATAACCAAAATGTATAAAATTTTAAGATTAGTTAAATAGTTGGTACATTGGGTCTCGGACAATAGACTTTCCATCCTCCTCCTGTCCTCCATTTATTGTTTGATATCTATATAAATATTATAAAAATATAGAAGCACATCCACCCACGTGTCATAATATCAACACATTGAAACGTTGCCGTGACAATTAAAATGGTTTTTATGTTAATTTAAACTTTAATTAATTTAACATTAATATTATTATCGTTAATATTAATTAGTTTTTTCAATTAATAATATTATTTTATATAATAAAAATTTTCAGTTTTTTTTATAGTTTAATAATATTAAATGCTATTATTTTTTTCAATAGATTAACTCAGGTGTCATAATGTCAAAACATAAGTACTGTGGTAGCAAAGGAAATAATTTTGAGCTTTTAAAAGAAATTTATTGAGCTTTGTCATTGTTTTCACTATTTCTGTCTAGAAATTTAGTTAAATCAATTGATTGTTTTTGACAATTTTTATTATATATGAAATTTATTGTAGTTATTTTGTGGATCCAAAGTGAGTTGTTGTGTTTATTGTGTGACAAATTGATTGTAAATGTATATATATGAGCATTTGGATTTGTTAAGTGTAAGGATTTATACTTGAACGATGAATAATAAACTATTGGTGATTAATGAATTAACATAAATATATATATTAAAAAATATATATGTTACTCTTTTAGCATTATTAACTCTGTTACCAATTTTAATAAAGTAGTTCGATTTGTAAATCAAAATTATATAAATACAATATTGTACGTATACTCACTAAATACAAAAGGATAGCATTGTATGAATCTAGATTCTTTGCAATTAAATGATTAGCATATGCACATGTCCTCTCTCTATCATGCATGACTCATGAAAGACCACATAAATGCAAAAAAATATTTTAATTAGTACTATTGTGCCAATGACAGGGCAATGAAGTGATGTTTGGACTCTGAAAGGATAAAATGGCAAGTGCAAAGAAACTCACAATCAATCAAATTGGAATCCATCAATTGAAAAATTAGCTCAATGTATGAAATTGATGTCCCATTTATAAAATCAGCCGAGGCATGTGGGCTTTATTTAGTGACAATAGCCTCAGGGAACCCACCACTTCACTCGTACTTCTGATTAATTATCAGACCACTAGCTTCGTATTGGTACTTGTTGGTGATGGCAACCTTACAAAAACTTTTCAAATCAACACAGTAAGCTACACTCCACTGTACAAATATATAATTATTTATTATTATTTTTTGTTTTTTATAGACTAATTAAGAGTACCATATAGAGTCCACACCTTGCCAGCTGCTAGGGTTTTTCTAATCAAATGTGATGACTATTGTTGTGTCACAATTCTAAGTCAGTCTAACATTGATTTTGTATTTCTTTATTGCTAGTAACATGTGTAATAATTATTGTTCAGTCTATATAATTAATTTAATTTATGTTGTTAATTAATTATGACTGGTATTATAAGGTAATGAAATTTTTAGTCACTTGTTATATTTATTTAACTTAAAACAAGAGAGAGAGAAAGAAATAAATGACATCAGGATGATCTCATGCTGCTGCAATTTGCAAATTTCAATTGAACCATACATAAAAATGGAAGAATGGCCTACATAGATATACATATATATCTAATATCTTTTTCCTATCCAAAATCACAATCGCCTTCGAAAATGGAAAGGACCCACGAATTATCAGACCATAAATACAGAAACTATGGTTTTACCTCCGTACTAAAATTTCTTACCATCCCATGAATTGAAATCCATTTTGCATGTTTTGTTACGCAGTAGCTAGGCACAGCATGTGTCTCAGGTGAACTTGTCAAACCTGCCATTGTGGGGTTCAATTGTCTTTTCATTTCTTTCGGCTTCCCTTCTTCTATTTTTCCCCGCTTCGTTAGCTATGCACATGCTCTATTATTGCTTGCTTTATTACTGTATTATTTGTTTAGGAGGACCATGCACGAACCCTGCATCCGGAATCTTCAAATAATTATATATTAATCCCCATGAA